GCATCTTGATCTGCTACTGCAGTCACAGAAACTTGGAGCTCTAACACCTGCAAAAACGCGTCTTTGCTTTATGAAATTTGGTTGGTTCCACCATTTCTCAGAAGCAGCTATTGAATAACCCTGGAGTTCAATACAGATGCATTAAAAAAAAAATGAGAGCTGCCAAATTCTTAGTGGGAAGAAAATGTTTCTTCTCAAACAAGAACTCCACCATGGAGCTAAGATGAAAAGGCACTAAAACTTTGTATTGTTTTTGTTTGAAAGTGTGAGAGTTAAGCATTTCCATTTACAGGAATGATTAGGTTTTTTTGCATTTAATATCTCTCTGGATATTCTGATGTCTAGCTTTAGTTTACACTGAAGGTAGTGGAGGTTGTGGAATCTGAGTACCCAAGCACAAGGTAAAGCTCATGAAAATCACATTCCAGATGTGACAGTAATAATCACAGAATCACTAAGATTGGAAAAGACCTTTAAGATCATCAAGTCCAACCACCAACCCAGCACCACTACTACATTCACCATTAAACCGTATCCTAATGAAGGCTCCTTAGAGAAAATATGGGGAAAGAGACTAAAAATATTGCAAACCTTATGTGTTCATTCCCTCATGAGGAGTGAGTAACAGCAAGGACACTGAACAGGTGGTTGATCATTCACCATGCACAGCAGTTGGTCAAAAGCAGAAGTCTTAAAAGCATCTGGCTAGAGATTCACAGGTTACCTCCTGAGCTTCTCTGCAGTTTTGGAGGATCATTCATACTTCTGTAAAGCTTCTATTGCAGATTTGCATGTAGTTTCTGCATTTCCCATGTGCAAAGGACTTGTGGTTCATTTTTCTGTGCCTGGCACTGTGGTAGGTTAAGCTGTGGAGATGATGCTTTGCTATGGGAAGAGAGTGCCACATAGGCTCAAAGGTGTCCTTTAGGAATTAGCAGTCCACCAATCCCTTAATTTTGGCTTCACCTGTGGAAAAAATACATTACTGGTGAGTTCTATGCTGAAGGGCTTACATCCAGATTCATCATGTCTACTCCAGTTAGTACATGTTTTGTGTTGACCCTGGCCATGGTTTGAGCCTTCCCTTCTTCCCATCTTGCTTTTAAGATGTGTGATTCATGAAATTCCGACCTAAAAAATACACCCAGCTCAGCAAGACACCTCCTGATGGGAGAGAATAAGTGAATGAAAGGGATGAAACTTGCTGTAAAACTGACTGATAAGCCTGTAGATAATAAACTTTTTCCTTGGGGATTGTAATGAATCAGCTTCTGCCTTCCAAAGGAAAACCTGGCTTCCTCCTCTGCCCTAATATATTGGAAAGAGATGGAAAAAGCATGACTTTCATCAGGTGTCTCTTTTAACCAAGCAAAACAAGCACATGTGACAGGAAAATACTGGGGATTCTTCAAGTACTGCGACGGCTGATGCTGGTCCATCAGCCTGGAGCTTGGTTTTAGATAGCAGCCAGCAAAAATACCCTTCATTATTGTCTGCAGTCTAAATGTCGTCATGTTCTCCATCTCACCCCCTGGTACTGCAGGGCTGGTTTTTCCTCATATGCTAGTCTAAGCCCTGGGGTTTGCCTGCCTAATATTGTTCAGTTACTCAGAGAGTACTCCAGCTATAAAAACATTGCCTTTAACAGGCACAGAACTGGATCTGCCCTGCTTGGTGCTGGTGACTATGTCATTTGTTTATTGACCAGAAAAATTTTCTCTCTTAGTTTCCTTTTTTTCAGTGTTTTGGCTGGGAAACTGAGGTGCTTTCAGTCATTATAATAAAAACACTTGTAAGAGCATGACAGGATCAGTCCCTCTGCTAAATGTGGAACCTGCTGTGCTTTCAAAAATAGGAGCAAATTTTAGAGATTTCATGGATTAAACAAATTTTATTAGCCTCAGCATTATTTTTCTTGCTTTTTAGAAGAAGTTTCTGTACAAGTGTCAAGTCTTTTTCTCTTTGGTACTTTGAAGGAATCAGGACGTTTCAGTCATGTGCTGGAAGTGAAGGACTCAAGAAAAAAAAAGGCTTTTTTTTATGGTAAGGTGGTTTTAGAAGATTTCAGGACCACTTCTAAGTGTTTCTGGATTTATAGAGCAAGCAAGGCCCTTATTAAACTCTTGCTTTGTTTTTCACATCTCATTCCAATAATTATTATGCACATTAAGTGCACACTCAATCACACAGAACTTCAATTTATTTTCAGACTGGACAGACAAATTGTGGAGCCATAACTCCCAGAGTAAATGACTACTATTTGGAATCTGACTTTTGCACTTTACTTGATTTATAAAAAATAGTAATTGTGGAAATTAACAAAAAATGCTCTTTAACTAGAGCAATTGCAAGGTACCATGTTTAAACATCTTTATGCTTCATCTTATAGCTAGAATTTGTGAAATAAATGAGTATTTAATTGGTATATGATGGAATTTTACTGATTGCTCAGCTGCCTTTTTGCCTTCTTTGTGAGTTTATTGGCACAAATTCTTTCATATACCAGTTAGGTAGCAAATACTTTGGATTTCACTTATTGGTTTCTTCTGATTAGGATGCATTTTGCCTTAGACACATGGGGGTTTTATAGTTTGTTGTTTGGTTGGTTGGTTGGCTGTTTTTTTTTTTGTAGAGCAGCCATTGACAAAGACAGTATGTGTATGCCAACAGCTGAGTTTTAAGAGAACAAAAAAATATATGTGGGGTAAGTAGAATAGATTCAATACAAAGACAGATATGCCATCCATCTTTTAAACGTGAAGGATTATGAATACTACAGATACGGGCAAAAGCCAAGGCAAATTTGAGGCAGACTGCCCTACAGAAATGTTGTTGTGCAACTTGGATAAGCAATTCCTCTGCAGAGTGACCTCTCTTAAAGAACCTTGCATTTCAAAATCTTACAGCAAGACATGACCATTTCATAAGTTTCTTTGTCTTAACTGAGCGCAGATGACACCTTAGAGGAATAAATAACACCAACATTAATGGAGCACAAGCTCCACTTATAGCCAGTGATCCAGATCAGCTGATGGAAAAATTACTTTTCTAGTAATCTTTCATGTTTACCCATTCTCCTGTCTATTTGGAAATGTTGTGGGATTGTCTGCCATTATTTAGGTTTTGATCCATTTTTTCATCTAGAAGTCATGACAAGTCATTGTTCTTCTTTACTTGTGTCATTTTCTTATCTAATTGGACTGATAACGGCTGTATAATTGCAATTTAATTGCATTGTAACTGCTAATTTTCATACACTTCATAGCTGCTGTGAGAGAGGATCAGTGAATCATCCTCAGAGCAGAATGGGCCTGCTCTGGAGAGGCCTTTCTTGCCCTTCCAAAACACTTGTGCTGGGACAGGATTGTGGGATGACTATATCCGTCATTCGGTGCTGGCTATGACACCCGAGCTGGTATGCAGATGCTGAAAAAGCTGTCTTCTGCAAAAGGGTTTAATAAAAAGAAGAGTTCATTATCTATGTGGTCTGAAGAGCTGAATGAAGCATTCTGGTGTTTCTGAGGATGAATGGTTCTTTGCTTTCCTTATCTGTCCCTCTCCCATAGATAATGCTCTGGCCCTTTACCTCCAATTTGGAAGCTCCACGCAACATGTATAAAGAAACTTACACTATGGAATTGGTATTACAGCTGTAATAACAAATCAAGAGTTTCTACCTGGGAGAAAAAAGGAAGTTGGCACTTTGCCTCCTTTCACACTTACATTCCTTTCAGTCCCCAAATAAATGTAATATTGATGTGAATGGAACTGCTCAGGGTGATGTAATTTCTGGGTTCCCTTTAGACTAGTGCAGGGCTAAGACAGATTCCATGACTAGTACGAAAAAGCAGTGCTCTCCTGCAACACTGGCTGCTGTGTTCTGGCCTACTCCATCTGAGGAAGGGAATTGCTGTCTTGCAACAAATATTTTGAATTTTGCACTGTTGATTTGAAAATACTGATTTTAGGTCTTATCGATTCTGTCTGAAGTCTGAGTAAAAACTGAAAAAGAGTCAGTTTATGGCTTCATTCCCAGGACATGAACATTAGAGGCTTGATTTTTTTTTTTTTTTTAAATAGTGTTTGGGTGAATGAGGCAACCTAGACAACTGCACAAGGGTGATTTAGCTTGGAAGTAAAATATTACACATGCTATTTGCTTTGTTTCAGTTTCAAACTGAATGGCTGTTACTCACAAACTTTTAGTCCATGGAAGCTAAACAATACTAAACAATACTAAAACTATAATACTAAACAATACTAAAAACAATACTAAAACAATACTAAAAACATTCTAGACTAATTCAGATTTTCTTCACACAAAATGGGCTTTGTGCATGCAACATATCTGTTGTATTTCCCCACCTGTGCTTTCCTGCGGAGCAAGGTGAAGGCTGGTAGAAATCTGACCTTAGAAGCTGCTCTGGAGCAGCAGAACATTTGCCTGGTTTCTTGGTGGGGAGGTGTCTCAAATGAGATTCTAGTGATGATTAAAAAGGTCAGGTAAGATGCTTGCAAATGTAAAAGATTTATTCTACAGAGAAAGTAAATTGTGTTGAGCTGGGTTTAATTAGCTCAGTTGAGTTGCAAAGTCTAACAGAGGAGTCTAACTAAGTCTAACAGAGGAGCTTCAGGGACTGAGGGAGAGAATCAGTGTCCAACCACCATGCACTTCATGACACAAAGTTTGCTTACAAATGCTTGTGCTAGTTCCTGTGGTTGCAAAGAGCACAACTGACATTAACACTGTGCTGAGTTAAAAGTGTAGAGCTTTGTTATAACTATGAATATCTAGGTTTTTTGGACTCAGTCCTGTGCCTCTAACTCAGAACTGCCTGAATTCAAATGTGAAACATTTGGTTTCCAACTATGTGATTTTTTTTTTTCCAGGAAAAAGATATTTGGGAAAAAACCCCAACCTTGCACATACTGACTGAAAGAGGGGAACTAAGCTGAGTTGACAGTGCTCAGTGTTTGTTATCTCTCTTTTCTTCCCCCAGATGAAGTGGTTCATGTCTCAGCCCCCGAGAAGTTCACCTTCGAGGAAGCCAAGGAGCTTTGCAAGGAGAGAGGGGGTGTCCTGGCCTCTGTGGGGAACCTGTACGTGGCCTGGAGGAACGGCTTTGACCAGTGTGACTACGGGTGGCTGGCGGATGGCAGTGTGCGCTACCCAGCCTCCGTGGCTCGGCCCCAGTGCGGAGGAGGGTTGCTTGGGGTGAGAACCCTGTATCGCTATGAGAACCAGACAGGCTTCCCTTACCCACATAGCAAGTTTGATGCCTACTGCTATGAACGTAAGCAGGTTTTTTTTCAGTCATTATTTTTGTCATGCTTACTCTGCTTTCTTTAAATGTTTGTTTTATTTTGGTTCTTGCGGCACATGTGTATTTTTTAAAAAGAATTGATTTTATCACTATGGCTTTTCCAAAAAGAGAAAAGTCAAACTAAAAGAAATGTCATAAAGCAACGTTGGCAGATGAAGACAGGCAAGGTTTCAAGGTAAGATTTCAGCTTGAGCAGTATTTTCACATGCCCATAGTCACCCTGAGCCTGTGGATGCTCCATTTTTTGGTGCCTGTGTACAATCTGGTATCCTTGTGTCATGTCAATGGACACAAGACATACCAGACATTCAAAACCCCAGCTGGACATGTTCCTGCGTCACCTACTGCAGGTGACCCTGCCTTGGCAGGGAGGTTGGACTGGATGATCTCTAGAGGCCCCTTCCAACCCCAACTATTTTGTGATTCTGTGATAAGAACAGAGACATCCTACTTGACCAAGTGAATGACTGTCACCTAACTTGGTATTCTGCCTCCAGGGATGGCAGTAAGAGAGGTTGTTTACAGGCTATGTACAAGCCTGGACACTTTCAGATCTCTGAGATTAGCCCCCCTAATTTTGGGGCTATTTCTGGATCCCAGGAACTTTCTCCTGTCATAATATTATTTCTCTTACTTGCTCAGTCCCAGTGAATTGTCTAAATTGCCTTTCTTAGAGCTGCTTGTTTCCCTCCTGGAGGCACATCAAACACTTGCCTATTCACGTGGTAGACTGCATCAATCTAAACCAGACGTCATCCACACCTCTCAGCCTTCTTCTGGGATTCAGTATTCCCCTGCAACCTCATCTATCTCCAGTGACCACTGCCTGGCTCTGCTATTATGGTGCATCCTATCCCTGCACAGGCTCCTGTTGTCCTAAAAGGTTCACCAGCTACCCAGCTGAATCTCCTACTTCCCTCAGCAGCACAGGGAAGTTGGACAGCCCAGCAATTTTCCTGCAGGCCTCTCTGCTCAAGGAAGTTCCTGTGGTTGCAAAGAGCACAACTGACATTAATACTGTGCTGAGTTAAAAGTGTAGAGCTTTGTTATAACTATGAATATCTAGGTTTTTTGGACTCAGTCCTGTGCCTCTAACTCAGAACTGCCTGAAATGCGCAGTTTGTACTGTACCCATTTTTGTGGATGGTGAACCAACTGCAGCTGCTGATCTTTCCAGCTCAGGAACTGAAGACCTATTTATGAACAAATCTTACTGTTTTAGAACAAATCCCAACATCTGTTTCAGTCTGGCTGTTCTCAGACACTGTTGTTTTGTTGTTTTTCCTTTATATTTTTCTTTATATTTTCCTTTATATTTTCCATTATATTTTTCTCCTTTAATTTTCCTTTATAGTTTGTGGGTATGATGTTCTAAAACTTTGCATTTGAAGTAGTACTAATGGACTTCAAGGGAACTACCCACAAGAAAAAGGACTTAGTTAAGTTCAAGGATCTGTGCTCAATTCTGCAGGACAGAGTTTTGTCATATCAGTCTTCCTATTCCTCCTCCAAACTGTTTGTGGTCTGTTTAAAGCGTTGTGGATAAAAGAGTCTTTAATGGGAGTGAATTTCATCGGTGCCTCTAAAAGATTGGAGTAGGAACTGGACATTTTGCTTGTAACCTAGTCTTTAGTCAGGACAAATTCCAACTTGCTGTTTGTTTTTGGGAATTTCACCCCTTTCGAGTAGCGTGTGCCTTTACAATGTTCTTCCTAGAAGTTTTAGTTAACAAATTTAGACTGTTTGTTCTAAAAACAACCTTGATAAGTATTGGGTTGTTGCCTTTTCTGGAAACCCTTGCCCTTGATACATGAAGAATAAATATTCCATCACTTTGCAGCCCAGGAAGTAGACGATGTAGGACTATCAACCCTTTTATGAGACACAATAAGACTAAAAAGGACCAACACAATTTGGTAGAGTGAGCTGCTCTCTAGCAATTTTAATTACAAGCAACATTACATCAGAATTAATTAAACACTGCTAGCTACATGACTCAGGTTTTGCCATACATCTGGTTTTACATAGGGAAATGCAAGAGTGTAATGCTGTACCCTCCTTCAGGGAGCCTGTCTGCTGCATATTTCAGAAGTTATTGAAAGTTCTCTCCCCCTCTCAGAAGGTGCTTGGGATCCCATAGGAACCAACTGTGACTTCTCACTGCTTTTGCTGAAAGATTTATGTATGTGATGAGTAATGAGGCTCACTTCCAGGCATCTTGGTCTTCCACATCTCCAGCAGCTGCCTGATGCAGTGGCTTTGGAGTGAGTCGCTCTCTCCCACTAGAGCCTTGGAGCCAGTCCCTCTTTTGGGGCAGAAAAAGGGAGAGGGTGAAAAGATAGTCCTGTGTGAGAGCAGTAGGCTTGAATTTAAAGTCTTTGTTTCAAACCATCCTTTGTCTGAAAGTGTCTTCCAAAACTTTCTGTTATCTCTGTTTTAAAGCTTCAGTGTGTTAGTCCATCATGAAACCCACTATCCCCCAGCTCTGGCTGCTTTTAGGTCAATGTGAAGCTTTTACAGAGAGATTCCCATAGTGCTTGACAACAAAACTCTGCTCCCAAGCCCTTGGCTCTCCTTGTAACCTCAACCCTGTGCTCATAGCCCTTAATTATGTGTCTCGCATTACACTGCTGTTTCCCTCCTCACCTGAACACCCAGTCACACCACAACAGATTTGTGGCAAACCAGGCACCTGTTTTAGTCATCGCAAAGACAAAACATGTATTTAAGAAGGGGAATATCTCCTCCTTTGTCCTTGCTTAGACTCTTCACCCCTATTCTGTGATTGAAAGTGTCTTTGGCGGAAAAAATCTCAAAATATTAATTTTAATTTCCCTTTGAAAGAAACCTCAATCCATATTTTGAACATTTTGCTTACTTTTAAAAAAGAATAATATTTATTAAAATACATAAAAGATCCAGGAAGCAAATTCAATTTAAAAATGATATGCACTAGCTTCAGTAAAGCAGCCAACCTGGACAACTTTTAACAGTACAGTTAAGTTCAGGATTTTAACTTCGGCAGTGTTTTGGTTACCAAATTACGTTGTATGAAGTGTCTTGACTTTATGAAAATAAGTGTGGCCCAGACTAATAATACATGATTTAAAATCAAAAAGTCTTGTTAGAAAACCTGAAAACTTTTTCTCTTTGATCAAAAGTGCTTTTCACTCTGCAGAAACCACATGGCTCTGAGTTTCTGAAACATTATCTGTGTGTTTTATTTCATCCCTCCAAGGCTTTTGCCAGACTTTTTTTTTTTTTTTTTTTTTTTTTTTTTTTTTTTTTTTTTTTTTT